GGCCCCGTGGCGGTCCTGGTACGGGGGCACGTCCTCGAGCCCCTCCAGGCTGGCGCGCGCGGCGAACTCCTGGCGGAACCTTGGACTGGAGGATGGCCACAGAGGCCTGTCCGCCTGGCTCCGCAACTTCAGGGCATTCAGGGCGGAGCTCACGCACTGCGCGGCATCCGACTCTAGCACCATCCCCTCCTCGAACTGACCCGTCTTTCTCCGATCGGGCAGCTCCTTGGGGAACAACGAGATGGTCCACCGGTCGATCCGGCTCCGCCGAGCTGGCGCCACCAGGGAGCCACCCATCATGCCAATCAAAGCGCTGGCCAAACTGAGGCGCGCGTCCCAGGCGACGAGGAGGCCGAGGCAGCAATCGAGCAAGCCGCAGCACACGCCGGCCCCGATGATCGCGGATAACCCCCGAGTCCAACCATCGAAGATCAGGTGGTCCAGATAGCTGGCGAGACCCCGGTCCAAGTTGGCCACGGTGCTCATCCTCAGCTTCTCCCCCCGGCTCCTGCCCAGGAAGTCGGTGTGGGGCCGCTGGTACTGCAGCTGCGTCCCATGCCCCGCTCGAGAGGTCTGCGGGAGCGTCAGGCCCTCTGCCGCGGCCCTGAAGGCTGCGACCAGAAGGCGGCGCCGATGGGCCGCACACCGAACCTGCAGAGGGGCGGCTCGCGCCGTCCTCTTGGTCCGCGCGGTCCGTCCGCCTCGAGCTGCAGCAGCTTCGGCGGCTCCCTGAACCAGGACTGCCCGAGCGACTGGACGAGGTGGACGAGCTGGCACTGCCGCCCCCGCGGCCCCCGTTGTCGCCGACGGGCTCGACGTCGCACCGCGCCAGGCCCGCGGGACGGGCCTCAGGATCGAGACCGTCACCGAGACCACGAAGCCCGAGCGGAGCTGCAAGCTGTCCGCGGGCTCGCTGCACGATGGTCCGCTCGAGCTCACGATCGAAGGCAGTGCTGGCCGAAGGGCTCGTGCCGGCCGCGCCTCCAGGCCTGGCCCAGGCCGCCGGAGCATCGCGGAACGCCGGCCCGCGTGGGTCGCGCCTCCAGGCGCCGGCGCGGGCCGAGACGCTGCGAGAGGGATCGTCTGCAGGGTTCAACTCTGATGCAATCCATCGGACCACGAATGAAGTATTTGAGAGAATAGAAAGACACAATAACTCCTGACATGTTCGATTCAGCAGTGGGGACGTCGAACGCCCCATTCCCGTAGCTAAGACCACAGACATATTATCGCACAGAAGCAGATGACGGCGACCGAAGCTGCTGACGTTTCGTAGCTTGTGCCGGGCCCCCATCACCAGGGCCCGCCCCTCCGCCCGCATAATATTCTCCGACGATGCGAACCGGCCGAACAAAACGGTGGACCAGGTGTCGAAATCCCCGATCTGCTCCCCATCGATGTGGAAGAAGTCGGTAACCCCACGGCGGGCTCTCACTTGGGAACTTCGGGGCTTGGAGGGCCCCTGAGGGACCAGCCCGAGACTCTGCTCCCGGGCGCAAATGGCATCCTCGACGCAGTATCTCCGCCTCTCCGCACGGCTGGCCACGGCTCGAACTGCCTCCGAGTCCCAGGGCCGCTCGCAGACGCCGAAACCCCCGAAGTCGAACTCGGTGGCCCCGGAGGCGTCGGAGGCCATCACGCACGGGTCGAACGGCCTCTTGGTGTCGACAGCGGCGAACGGCAGAAGTGCTGCCGCGATCCGCAGCTCCCGAGTCACGCAACTCCAGAGACGCCACCGCTGCTCCCCGGCCATTTCACAAAAACGGAAGGCACTGCTGAGGATAGACAAAAGCTCACGTTTCAACAGGAAGGCCCAGGTTAAATGGCCCAGGACCCGGCGCAGCTGGACCCTGGTGCACCAGCCCTGACGGCAGAGCTCCAAGAGCCCCAGGCGAATTTTCCACAAGCGCCGGGTCGAAAGCGAAATGATTCCAGAGCTGCGTTCGAACGTGAGGCCTGTGAAAGACTGCTGTTCAGACGCCCCGACCATCCCTTTGCAAACCAGACCACGAGATCCCAGGAGCTCGACGGCGGACGCGCATCCGTCCGAGCAGCACTTTTCGCTGGTCCCGAGGAAAGCGACCCCGTCGACATACACGGCAGCAAGAGGCCCTTCCTCGAGGCCGGCGGCTGCCCGTCTATCCTGGACAAGTCTGGAGGGGGGGAGGCCGGAGTCAAGAACAGTGTTCTACCATACACTGACAGAAGTATAAAGACCAAGACCACCCCATGGCTAACACGCGGAGGACGGGCGAAAGCTCCCCAACCCCGCGAAGCTCCCCGGAGCTGCCCGGGCAAAGTGCCTCGAGGTGACGACAAGAGACAGGAGGGAGGACAAAATAATCTTCAATCCCAGCGGGCAGGCCGATCCGATAGAATGCATTGTCAACGTCTGCCTGGCACAAAGAGAGCTCGCATTGATCTGGCACATACAAAGAGTTCCATGCACTAGCCGTGGGCAACTGAGAATACTCTGGCGAATTGAAAAACTCGTTGCTACCCCTAGTATCGAATATCAGCCTCTGCCTGACGCCGTCACTCTTCCACGCGAAGAACACCCCCAAGGTCGCGTCGAGGCGGCCTCTCAGGTTCACCAAACCGGCGGCCTGGAGGTCTAACGCGAACTGGGCATAGGTACCCTTCGCACGTAGTCGACTGTCGACGTGGGGCTTGAATTTCTGCACTACCTCCCGGCTGACACCGGGCCGCAAAAGATGCTGTCGCCACTCCTTCCAGAAACTTAAAGCCGCACCGCCGAGGCACCGGCCCCCCTCGGCCAGGACCCCGCCGGTCGGCAGCGAGACGAGGTCTCGCTGGTAAGGAGCCGTCTTCACCGGGTCGCCATGCCCGGGCCTGCTCCCGCACAGCTCACTGCAGGCTGCCGCGGGGCTCACCTCCGGGGCACCGAGTCGCTCCCAACCACGTCGGAGATGCTCGACACCACGGACCTGAGCGAGAGAAAGTTGGTGCGAGACCTGGGCCTCGCCGTGGTTGTACAAAAGGTTGAGGGCGGTCACCGACTCACGCACGCGCTCGTCGACGAGGGTCCGGCGGAGGGCCCGGCTGCGGACGCTGCGGCTGCAGCGGCCAACGCCAGGTGGCTCGCGCGGGGCCGAGAGGGCGGCCAGGTTGATAGGCAGCAGCTCGCGAGCGACCACCATCCCGGCCGAAGAGCCGGCAGGGCACGCCCCGGGGCAGCCCGGCCGGCGGGTGGCGCCGGTAGGCTACTTGCCCCCGCGGCCGCCACCGCGGCCGCCTCCGGCATCGCCCTCCTGCTGGCCGCCGCCGCCTCCGCCGCCGCTGCCACGGCCCGCCTGGAACCGCTTGAGCTCCGCCGCCTGCTGCTGGGTCTTCTGCTGCAGCGAGTCCTTGTCGTTGCCGGCACTGCCTGCGCAGCCTCCGCCGCCGCCGCAAGACGAGATGGCCCGCTCCTCGCGAAGCTCGCGCCGCTCCTCGAGCAGGCCCGCCTCGCGGTGGAGCTCGGCCGTGATGTAGTCCTGGAGCTCCGGCGCGATCTTCAAATGGCCGCGCGTCTCCAGGGTCCCCATCATGAGGTAGTCGTCCTCGGCTCCGTCGATGCCGTCGGGCCGGTCCATGCCCCTCTCGCGGTAGCAGTGCTCAATGAGCTGAGCCCGCCTTGCGATGTACTCGAAGAAGCCCAGCTCGCCGCCGTTCAGCTGGTCGAAGAAGATGCCCAGGCCGACCACGCGCATGCACAGCTCGTGGTCGGAGACGCCGGGGTCGTCAAGCGAGACCCCGGCCTCGTGCCTCCACCTCGTGTGCCGTGCCCGTGGATGTACGTCCTGGTCCGCCAGGATCGGCAAGCACCAACGAGTGGTGTGCGGGCCAAGCACTGGCCGGACGGGCCAGCTCGCCTCGCTGAGGAGGTTCACGGCATCCTTGGTCAGACGGCACCGCTCCCCCTCAAACACCACCTTGATGTCGAACGACCGGGCGTCTAAGTCCCCGTCGACTCCGAGCTCGTCACGCTTCACCCCTCTCACGACATCCGCCTCCAAGCCCATCGGTACGACACCGAGCCCGCCTGCGACAGCATATCCGTCGGTCGCGCCACCGAAACGCTCCGTGCGCGCGGTGTCCGAGCCCGTCGTGGCGAGGATCCCCCCACAGTGCCCGTCGGGCGGCGTCGGCAGGGCTCCCTCCGAGACCTCCATGTCAGTCGGAACCTTCGCTGCTCCATCCCCTGACGGCGTTCCCGATGCTGGTCGCAATTGCTTCCCACGGAGCCGCCGGCTCGGGTGACCGCTGGAGGGAGCCTCGGGGCGGCAAAACCGCAAGGCTGCTACGTAGTCGAGCGCCATCGCCTCCCGGTCGGCGCCGCATACCGAGTGTCTCCTCCGCGACTTCTGGCCTTCGGAGGTGGAGTCGGTGGGCTGGCCCGTCTTGTCGAGCACCACCACCCCAGCCAGAGCCCCGACCGCCAGGAGGTGCAGCAAGATGTCCCCGTCTGGAGTGAGGCAACAGAACCACTTCGTCACCAGAGCTGGAGGTGCTGGGTCGCCGACGGTGTACTCCCCGCCCGAGCGCTCGCAGATGATGATACTCACTTGCCAGTCCCGTCCGGCCTGCCACGGGACGCCGACATGTAGACCAGCCTCCATAGCCCACAATGCAGCAGCAGCACCCCGCAGCAGCTCCAATCAAGAAGCAGAGGGCGCAGACCCCTGCGAGGAAGCCCCGCAAGCTGCCCGTGAGCTCCGAGAGGAGGAGGCACCCACCTGCGTCCTCGTGCCCTTGTATCAACACCTGGACTGCCTGATGCAACTGACTGAGGGCGAATGGCAAAACTTTGGCTCGAAGGAATGAGATGACTCCCGTGCGCCGCCCTCTGAATTAGACTTGAGCCGCAACACCAGCGGCCGACAAGCACGCGCGCCCAGCAATGTACTTCGAAGAAGCTCGCTCGGAGGAGGAGGAGGAGGAGGAGGAGGAGGAGGAGGTACGAGCAGGAGATGGAGGGCAGAGCCAACGGCCGCCGCCTCCCCTCGAAGACGATCTGGTAGGGGAGGGCGCCAGAGCCAGGAAGCGACTGCTTGAGGTAGAAGTGGCCGCAGTCGAACAGCTTGAGCGAGACCTCCACCTGGCGGCGGAGCTGCCGAGTATGCTGCTGCTGCAACTGATTCTCCTCCTCCACCTCCTCATCCGTCCTCGTCCGTCCTCCTCTTCCCTCCTCCTCCTCCCTCCTCCTCCTCTCCTGCTCCTCCTCCTCCTTCTGCTCCTCCTCCTCTCCTGCTCCTCCTCCTCCTTCTGCTCCTCCTCCCTCCTACCCCCTCCTCTTTCTCCTCCTCCTCACCCTCCTCCCTCCTCCCTCCTCTCTCCACCCTCCACCCTCCACCCCTCCCTCCTTCCTCTCTCCTCCCTCCTCCCTCCTCACTCCACATACCTCTCTCCTCCTTCCAACCTCCCCCACCTTTCCCCTCCCTCCTTCTTCTCCTCCTTCTCCTCCTTTTTCTCCTCCTCTCCCTTCTTTCTCCTCAGAGCTCCCCCCCTCTCCCCCTGAAGACGCGCCATTGTCCACCAAGCGCGCATCGGCGCGTGGCTTGCCACAGCTACTGACCCCAAGAAGGTAATACTGCCCAAACTATTTCAGCTCGGAACGTCTTCGCTCGTTCCGAAGGGCGCCGTCTGGTGTTGCCAAACCTGTCTCTGGCCCAAGGGGGAAGACGATGAGGAGGACACCAGTACTTATACTCTCGCCCTTGCGGGCTTCTCCACTTGTCTGTTTTGCGCCGCTTAGTCGGCACTGCGGTGAGAAGGTTTCGAGTTTGATCTTGCTCGTGCGTTCTGTCTTCCAGCCAAATTACCACGGGAAGACGCGACGGCTCACGCTGTCCCACGCTGGTGCAGCGCAAAAGCAACGAGGAGGCCGGGGGGGGGGGCAGGTGAGGAGGGGGTCTCCTCCTCCTCCTCCTCCTCCTCCTCCTCCTGGGGGGAATGGGAACGGGGGAGGCCTGGGGAGGAACCCGAGCCCAGATCAGACCAAGGCCTGGGCCTGGCCTGGCGGCGCCTCCGGCGCCGCTCCTGGCACCGATCCATGGCATCCGCCCGTAGCTCCGACATTTTATCGTTACGTATGTCTTAACGGGCGAATGACGGCACGACATGCGCTTTTCCGCGATCGGGGGCGTCTGTCCCAGGGCGGCTGTGAAACTTCTACCCCTACTGTGGCAAGTGAGGGTATGAACTTTCCAGCCGCCCTGTGACCAACTTTCCCGATCGTGGAACACTTTATCTCGTACCGTTCTGCGCGCTACTTGTAGAGTTTCTTGTTCCTCGACCCCCACCCCTCCTCCCCTCCTCGCCTCGGAGGGCCCTGCAATCAAGGCCCTGGGCGGGCATCAGGACGTGCCCAGGCGCTCGGCCACGTGCGTGTTGAGGCCGTGTTTCCGAGCAATCGCTGATAGGGAGATCTGCGCGCTGGTTTCCCCTTCTGCGGTAACCTGATTCCCTCACTGTAGCCGCGCTTCTAGGGACCCCGAACGGAGAATAGCACGGTCACGCGTGTGAAAGCAATGCAAACGCTCGGGATGCGTTGCAACATGTCGGTTTGTTGCTTACTGTGGTCGGAATTCTGTTCCGTCCTCCTGCACCCTGGGCTTGCTGATACTTTACAATCTGCACGCTCTCACGCTGTGCATGCCGCATGCCGTGACATCAGCACCTGCCGGGTTCCCACAGTGTCCTCGCCGAAGTACTTCGCCATCTTGGCACCCTCGGCGCGAGTAGCTCGCCCATCTTGTGTTCCCGCTCCAAGAGCATACGTAGCACAAACAAATGATTCTGGCAGCCAGCACACACATGCCAATAACACATCACACACATATGCATATGCTGACGTTTGATCTGGGACCATATGTGTGCTCCGAGAGTTTTTGCTGAAACAGCAATGGAAACCAGGCTGTAAGATCTCTAGCTGCATGTGATCATCAACATTCTAACTTTCTCTTGCTTCCCTCTGCTGCGAAGCAGCCCTGCCGTGTCTTAGATTAACGCGGGCCCATGACCTGTTCAATACTTCCTCAACACCAGGCGTGATCGGAACATGGCAAATAATGAATACACATGTTCGGCCTTATGTTCAATGGGCACGACTTTCTTCTATGTGAATTGATGACAGCACGCTACATGAATGTACGACACACACCGCATCATTGCGTGCACCAGCAAGCTCCGTCCCTCAACCTCACTGCTCCGACTGCGAACTCAATTCATGGACATGTCCACGTCCACGCAACGGTGTGTACTTCCAATCCACACATGCGCACGATAGTTTCCCTCGTTGTTTTTTTTGGTGAAATGGCGGAGGTGTGGTGGTTGGAGGGTGTTGTGTGGTGTCGTGTGTGGCGTGGGAGGTGGTTGAAGGAGGACGATCCGCGCCATTGACCACGGCACGGCCAACTGGAATAGCTGAGCGCAAAACGTAACGGAACCCAAATACGAACCAACCTTCAACCAACCAGAACATGCAACGAATCGTATTTTGGAAGAAAGGCCAGGATAACGGCGTGAAAATATCACCAGAGGCCCATACGGCCAGCTACACTGCGCACGGGGGCGAGAGGAGATGACCCCAGAGGAAGAGAATGTAGATCCCACCAGCCCTCCGAACGTATGAAGTTTTGTGCGCTTCCCCGTCCAGCCCCCCTTTTGCCCTTCGGGGAGGGGTTACCCCTCCCCCTACCCCGCGCCAGAAGGCTCCCCCCCTCGCACGGCCACGCGAAGAAGGTGTTTGAATGCTTTCGGGATGTGAGCCTGTTAATCTCTTACGGGACCTCTTGGGGACTGATCGAAGGCCTCTTGGGGGCCTCTCGTTGGCCTCCTGGGGGCCTCTGGGAGGCTTGTTGGTCGCCTCCTGGGGGTCTTCTTGGGTTCCCACGGCCCTCCCGCGGGCCGAGGAGGCGAGTGTTTCAAAACCGCGCAACAACCTGGAGGGAATCGGTGATCCGTGCCTTTTGCGGGCCTCCTTGGGTGTCCGCGAAGGGCCGTCCTGGAACGCATTTGCGAGCCTCTGGGGCAAAAAAGAAAAAAAAAAAAGAACAACAAATGCGAAAAAAAAAAGAAAAAAAAAAAAACAAACGAGAAAAAACAAAAAAGATAAGAAAAAAAAGCCTCTGGGGCGCTCGAGCCCTCTCGGGGCGCCTCGGGGGCCATCCTGGACCGACGCGGAGGCCGTCTGGGCTTGTCACGTCTTCCCCTGCTCGTCCCGTCCTGCTTTGTCTCGTGCTGTCTCGTGGGCCGTCGCCAGGGCAGCGTCGTCGCCCGCGGGACCTGGGGAGCGGGGGTTTGCCTGCCTGAAAAGGGGGTTGACCCCTCCTCTTGGGACTCCTGTGAAGCTCTCTAGGGGCGCTGTGAGGGCCCTGTTTGGGCTTTGTTTACTTGTGGGGCTCCTTGGGACATTTGGAGCCTGGGGGGCCCTCCATGGGCTGTCTTGGCGTGGCGTCAAACACACATGATGTTGTCGGCATTGTTTTTGAGATGCAAAGTCTCCTGGGGCCCTTTTGGGGCCCTCTTGGGCATTTTTTGGTGTTCTCATGGGTAGATACAGGCCTGTCAGGCCCTTCTGGGGCCTCTCCTCGAACTTGTGGCCAGATTGAAGACTCAAGACCTTTCCGGAAGCCGGAGAGCGATAAGGCCAAAACCCTTGAGATACCCTAAGTACTTGAAGGCTTCCGGCCTTTCGAGGCCATGCTGGGGAGGTTTGGTGTCCACCCTGGGCCGTCTTGTGGCGGTCTGGAGGCCTCTTGGGCCCAGTGGAAGCAATCTTGGACCATCGTGCCATCCTGGTGTTGGACGCGACCTCGTCTTGTGCGTTGCCGAGGCCAAGGCGGGGGCATGACACGCCGGTGTTGCGGCCGAGGGGCGGGCGGAGGGGTCGGCCCGTGCTGCTCGGGAAACTCCCTCCCCTGGGTCTGGACGGGGGGGGCCGCTCAGTTAGAGCGTCCACGAAACCTCCAAAATGGCATGAGATGACTTTCAACAGAAACGGAGGCTGTGGGGTGAGGTCGACATGAGACGGAATCGCCCAACCAAGAAATCGTTATGGGCTTCGACTCGTATTATCGTCCGTGACGTGCGTGCGGGCGAGGCGAAGCTGCGTGAGTTCCTGCTCGAATGGAGGCCAACTCAAGGCAAAAGGAGTCGCCCCGGCCCAGCCGATGGATGCGGGTTGTCTCGACGATTGTCCCGATTTTTGTCCCGACGGTTGTCCCGATGGTTGTCCCAATGGTTGTCCCGATGGATGTCCCAACAGTTGTCCCGACGGTTGTCCGATAGATGTCCCGATGGTGTCCTGATGGTTATCACCATGGTTGTCTCGATGGTTTTCCCGATGATCTTCTCGATGGCTTTCCCAACGGTTGTCCCGATGGTTGTCCCGAAGGTTGTCCCGAGGACTGTTTCGATGGTTGTCCCGATGGTTGTCAAATCAACGTGCCGCGGAACATACTACATGGTATACATATATACATATAGGTATAATCGCCCTGTCGGGCAACCCGTACAAATTCGCCGGCTCAAAGGGTCAAGGGTGTGCTACGTGCTAAGATCCCCAGTAACTTGTTAATAATATTTCGAGTTCGCGCGCGCGGGGCCGCCCCTGGGGGTCCCTGGACGACAAGTACCCCGACATGGTCCTGGGCAGGTTTCTGGCAAGGTCCCGGGCAGGTCCTGGGCAGGTCCCGGGCAAGTCCCAGCAAGGTCTCGGGCAGGTCCCGGCGAGGTCCCGGCCAGGTCCCAGCAGGCTATCAAGAGCACTCCAGGAGCGCTCCAAGTGGCCTCCTAGAGAGCTCAACATGGTCCGAGACGGTCCAAGAGCGATCCAAGACGCCAGAGACGGCCTCCAGACAGCCCATGTGCACAGAAGCAGAAATTGGTGATTTTCCTGAGGTTTTTAAATTTTTTTTGGGCATTCTCGCCTTTTCGGCATACCGGCACTTTAAGACGGCCCAAGAGGCTTCCAAGATCGCCCCAACAAGGCCCAAGAGGCCTCCAAGAGCGCCCAAAACGGCCCCAGAGGGTCCCAAGACAGCCCCAGAGGCCTCCACGAAGAGGCTCCCAAGACAGCTCCAAGCGTGGGCCCAGACGGGGGACCCGAACTGACATCAGGTCCATTGGAGGCCCCAAGAGGCCCCCAAGAAGCCACCGAAGGGCCCCCAAGAGGCCCAACAAAAAGGCTCCAAGAGGCCCCCAAACGGCCCCCAAACGGCCCCCAAGATGCCACGTGCGCGCAAGCAAACGCCGGCGATGGCACAATACGAGCTGGCGGAGTGAGCGAAGCGATTCATACATAAGATTATGTAAATGGAGAAAGGGAACATATACGGACCTCTCTGGCTATATGAATATAATCGCCAAATGGACAGGTCGATCGACAGATGGACATCTAGACCAATTGTTCTGATGGTTGTCCTGATAGATACATCGTGAGATCGACAGATCGCTTGATAGTGAGATCGGTAGATACATAGTGGGACTGGTAGATGGTGAGACCGATCAGTAACTTATATAGACCCGTGCACATATCGATATTGAGAAGGATCGACCTGTAACGTACATACAGATGGATCCACACACAAACATGTGTACATATACACATATGTAGGTGTGTGAAGCGGCAGTTTACACATGTTGACCTGCGGACACACGTAATACATAGACACATGAACATACATCTCCATGTCCCAAAGTGTGTCCCCTCGTGTGTTGATTTGTCTATCCAATGGAAACCAAAGATGACGTCCCCGCCCCAACCTCTTTATCACCCGAAGGGTGAGATATGAGGTATTTCAATATGTCTTAACCTATCCTCCATCATGTGCCAAGATGCCGTTCGACCGCCCCGAGTCTGTCCCAAGTGACCACGAAGCCTCACAAAGATATTTCAGATGAGTCAGCATGTTGCTCTTGATTTCTCGTCTTTCGCTTCCGATGGGCCTCCGACGCCTCAATCTGCCTCCAAGGAGCCCAGGGGGGCCCAGAAGGACTCCACGACGGTCCTGAGAGCGCCTCTAGAGCGTCCCAGTAAAGCTCCAAAAACAAAGTTTTCGGGCTCCAGCGAGGTGGCGCGAACGCATGCTGCCTCGTTCTTCATAGAGCCAACAATTTGAGTGCGCCATACGTTTGAAGATCTCTGGCTTTCGTGCTTTATACCTGGGAGGCTTTCGGGCCAATATGGCTCCAGCATGGCCCAATGTGCCTTACCGTGGGCTTCAAAATGTCGCGAGATGGTGCACATTGGTTCGGCATGGCTTTCAATATGCCTCCGAAAAGGCCCCATGGCGGCTCCAAATTGCTTCAGAACTTTTCGAGGATGCCACCCACTGGTCACATCCTTCCATAGGTTTCCGTAAATAAACACACATATCTGCATGTATCGCCTTCTCGCTTCCGATGAGCTTCTGAGGCCTCAAAACGGCTCCAATATCGCTAGCGAGCGACCCAAAGGTGACCCATAAAGGCCCCAAGGCGGTCCCAAAAACATCCAATAACGCCCCAAGGGCGTCCCAAGAGTTGCCCAAGAGACGATTATCCAGGGTCCGACGGGGCGAGGAACAGTGTCGGCCCCATGCTAGCGATTAGTGTTTTCCAACCCGTCCTCAAGAGGGTACCCGAGGCCACTCAGAGGGGCACACGGGAACCCCGAATGCCTCCAACGTTGCACCAACAGCGCCCGCATGTGCCCCCAAGAAGCCTCCGCGAGACTCCCAGATCGAAAGGCCCGCGACGGCCCTCATGCTCGACTCCTGGGTGTGCCCGAACTGATCCCGAGCTTCGGTTTGATGGCTGCCCCCCTCCTTGATCCACTGCATGTGCTCCGCTTCCCGGGTCAAAGCACATCGCCTGGGGATCGCTTCTGGACGGGCCCGTGGGGACACTTTTTTCCTTGCGGGCGCAAGCGGAAGCGCAGGCGCCGAGTTGAAAGGTCCGGGCCACGGGCCAATCTAATGAGCAACGCGCGAGCCTAAAAGCACAGCGACCGAGCTCGGAATCAGAACACCTGTGGGACACGCGCAGCGTCAATACGATAGGAGAGAAGAATGAGCGCAAGCCCATGCTACACTGCGCGCAGAAGCTCGAGAACAGCCGTGGCGAAACTGCACCGCACCCGGCTGTCAGGCCCTCGACACGCGGAGGCGGACGAGAAGGCGAGCTCATCACATGCGAATCTGTCCTGGACTCTATCTCGCTCGTTTGAAACGCTAGCAACATCTACGCACTTCTGGGGATACTGCCAGGACTTGCCAACTCAACGACATAGACACGACGACAACGCGTGCGTGCATGTCCAATCACAAACTGCCTCTAGGCTCTTGCTCGCCGCATCTGCTGAACCGCAACGGGCCAAGCGAGCTTACGGAGACAGCCTGCTTTGCACGCCGACAAATTGAAGCCTCAACGAGTAAAGGAACTCATCAGCGTTCGCGGAAGGACATTTCCGAGCCTTGGCAAGGATCTTGACTTTCTTGGGCCGCCACTTCGGTGGCATCAAACCCTTCGGCACGGTGAACTTTATCACCTGGGCTCGCTCGCATCCGTGCTTACATGTCTCGGCTCCGTCCCTCAACACCTGCTCTTCCAATTCTTCTGTTTTGCCGTCCGCCCGATTAAACAAACACGTGCGATTATGGCGGCCGATGCTCCGAGAAACCCGCCGGTACGTCACTCGCGCAAGAGGCGGCCTCACAGCCATGTGGGAAGAGATGCAACGAGATTCGATTCGAAAACGGCGCACAAGATACTCTCGCTTGCAGCAATACCAGAGGCACATGACTGGAATAGTGTTTGCCAACCCCATACTTTTGGACTTCCCGACTGCCTGTGGCACCGCGGTGTGACAACTATCCGCCACTCCGACTCCCCCCTCTTTTTCCTCATCGTCCTCCTCCTCCTCCTCCTCCTCGTTCTGCTCTAGATGAGGTGTGGCTGGGCGATCGCTGAAGAGAAGCAGACGCCTTCTCTGCAAATGCCTCGTTCAACTGGCTCTTGGCCTCGAGGAACGTGGGGATGTCCGAGTCCTCATGGAGCGGCCACTTCACAACATGGTCGGTGCCGACCAGCGGTCGGATCTCCTGGAGGAAGAGCAAGCCTAGAAGCCGACTGAGGAAAACCCGCCCTCAACCATTCTTAGCTCAAATGCCCAAGTGGACGCCAGTGTTTGAATTCCACGAAGACTGTTCAACGCCATGTCAAGAAGAGCACAACATCTACGAACGTGCAATCCAAAACACGACACCCATGAACGCAATGGCTGCGAACATGGTGGCGCCGCGCCAGGCCGCTTTCCGGGGGGCACCGGACAACGGTATGGTCGAAAAGCCAGCGCCGAGCCGACAAGGTCGATCCTTTTTGGAAATACTGCCTGCACCTTAGCCGCTGCAGCCGCCCTCGGCAGATAATTCAAATACAAGGGCTCGAGTGCGTATCTGTTTCACCGTCAGAGCGCTCGATGGGGAGGACTCGAGAAGGGATTGGGGACTGCGTCCGTTTGAGAAAGGCATGTGCGGCAAGCTTGGCATGACGAAGGTGGAATGGGAGACGAGGCAAAGGTGGATTCTGCCCTAAGAGACAGGGGCTCGGAGGAAATTGTGTGGGGGTTCTGACGGCGAGAAGAACTCCAAACGAGCAAATATGCCGTGGTTCTTGCCTCCCGCAGACAGAATACGCCACACTCGCTGACAATGCACGAAGTGTCCACTTCGTCGTCGTCGTCCTCCTCCTCGCCCTCCATCCCTCCTACTACGTCCCCCATTCATATCATTCTCTCCCAATCCCTCATGTGTTCTCCTCCTTGGCCTCCTCACCCTCCTCCTCCTCCTCCGCCTCCTCCTCCTTCGTCTCCTCCGTTGCCTCGTTATACTGATCGACCGCCTCCGCCCCTTCTCCTGTACGACTTGATCAATAAATGGCTGGGGGCATCCTTTAACGTGTTGCTGGTACTGTCGCATAGATGTAATCCAATTTCAATGAATTCCAAGGCAAACTTGTCTGTATGTCTTCTGTTCCGTATCTGGAAAAGGTTGCTGTCCCCGAATATGGAATCGAAAACCCATGGTTTCCAAAGTGGTCTCTTCTCGGATGGTCTCCCGCACGGTCTCTCGTATTCTAGTGCTGACCATCATGCTCTTCCGTCTGCTCCCTCGTGCAGTCGCCCACATGGCTTCCCGCATGGTCTCTGGAATGGTCCCAAATATGGCCGCCGTATGGTCTCCCGCATGGTGGCCCGTGTGGTTTCCAGCATGCTCTCCCATATTGCCTCCCGAACGGTCTAGCGTATGTGCTCCCGTATGATCACGCATGTAATCTGCTGTATGGTCTCGCATCTGGTCTTGCATCTTGTCTCTGATGTGGTCTCCCGCACGGTCTCTCCGAGTGGTGGGTGGTTTCCAGCATGGTCTCCCGTATGATCTCGCGTGTGATCTCCCGAATGATCTCCCGTATTGTCTCTCGTGTGGTCTCCCGTAGGGTCCCCTGCATGGCCTCTCGTATTGTAGTGCTAGCCATGATGCTCTGTAAAGTACTCTTCGCTATCAAAATTCCGATGTGCAGCCCTGCTGAGACTCTTATTCGGCCGAGGGTGTGATGCCATTTTCGCACGGGTTTAGCTTTGCATAAACTTGTGCTGCGTTTCGGTGCACTCGCTTACGACTAGTACTCCCGTTTCGTAGCTTTCATTTGCAATTTTCGTACCGCCTTCGAATCGGTTTCGGTCTTCGTGCTAATACCCTGAAGTTACGGCCAACAAGGCTTTTCACGATTGGCCTCTTAGTCGGGCTCCCTGGTCTGGACTTGGCAAGTGCGATGTTTCCATCTGTTGTCAGCATGTCGTGCGTATCGAATATGTCCTATCACATGAATATGTGCGCTTACCTTTTTCTCACGCACTGGCTTTGTGAACGTATATCGGTACAACGATCGCCAGCTCTGGGAACTCGGAGAACGCTGACGCGGACCTCTTCGGGTGACCATTGTCTTGACTGGCAACTCCGCCCTTGTTGATCTTCTGGCAACTTCAGCCGCTGGTGATGGAAACCCTTCGATTCCTCGGCGATGAGGCCGTTTTAAACGCTGGTTCCATGTATGCCTGCATGTGTAATTGCAGATGTGTGTGTGTGTGTGTGTCTTATGCCTGCGATTACACACATGTATTTACCAATGTATGCGCTTATCTAATTATTTACATGTATATATACACGTATAAAAGTACAACTGTTATATTCACCACGCGCGCTGACGTTCTACCTGTCTTGAAGCCCATCGCCTAGTGTGCAGAATGGTCAATGCCCGAAATAAAAGAAACCGTGAGTTTCGAGTCCAACGCGTTCGTTGCTAAAGACGCGGATGGAGGTTCAAGCGAGGTCGATGGGTGCACAAGTCCAACCACGTAAACATGAGCGTGGCTTTTGGGGTCTCTTGGGGACTTCTTGGAGCCTCTTGGGAGCGTCTGGGGGCCTCCTGGAAGCCTCTCGGCGGCCAGCTGGCGGTGTCGGGCTCTCGGGGGCCTCACTGGAGCTCCCTTGGGGCGGCTCGGCCCTCTTAGAATGCCTCTTGGCCTGCGTAGGGAGACCCCTGCGGGCGTCTTCGGCCTCTCTTGGGGTCCTCTTTGGGCGTATCGTGGGCCGTCTTGGGGCCCTCTTGGGGCTTCTCGGGGCCCTTTTGGGCCGTCTTGGGGAAGTCTTCGGAGCCTACCCGGCCGTCTTGGACGGTGCTAAAACCAAAAAAGCGAATGCGCTAAAAGTGCACGTTCCCCCAAAAAAGGACTGGGAAGATCCTTGCCTCCTGGGGCCGAGTTCATCTTGGAGCCGTCTTGGGGCGAGGTGGGGACCTTCTGGGGGCATCTTGACACGATCTTGGGCCGTCTTGGACCTGTCTAGAAGCCATCTGGGGCCGTCCTGAAGCCTTCTTTGCCCATCTTGGGCTCTCTTGGAACTTATCTGGAGGCTCCCGGGGGGCCCGGGGCATCTCCAGGGAAGCCCCATGGGTGCCCTGGGGAGGCTCTGGGAGAGGAGGGGGTCTGTCGGGGACCCTGTGGGCCCTTGGTGTGCTGCGGCCCCGGAGCGCCTGGGGCCAGGTTTGCTTTATATGTTAGATGCGCACATTGGTGTTCACTGTATTGGCCAGTCCCGCGTGAAACACGGAGCACACAGGACCCATCCATTTCGGATCAACTCAGTTCCCAACCAGATGCGGCCTTGAGTGTGACGTGCGTCTCGAAAGCGTGGCTAAGAAGATCTGGAACTTCTGCCAGCGTCTTCGGCGTCCACTTGGACCTCGTGAGGTTGATTTCCACCGAGTCCGCCGATCCCGTCTTAACAGGGATTTTGCCGATATTGGTGCGAAAAGGAAGGGGGAGGCCACACAAGAAATACAAGCAATAAGATGAGACGATGATAGCATTAAGTCGGGCCTGTCCCCCTACAGGGGGATTTTGGACTGAAAATAAGACATCCCCCAGAAATACTCCCAAATAGTCAAAACTAGTCAAAACATCGTCCCCGTATCATTTTTGTCAATTTTTGAATTTTCCTCCTGTAGATGGACACGCCCGACTTAATGATAGCATGTACGTGCAGGTGGGTGCGTGGAGAGAACCCCCCTCGCACACTTCCTTGAGATCCGACGTCGCGAAAAGACCGCAACAGTGCAACAAGTCACGCCACGAGTCACAGACCCCATTTTTCTGCGGCATTCCACGAGTCGAGGAGGAGGAGGAGGAGGAGGAGGAGGAGGAGGAGGAGGAGGAGGAGGGGGAGGAGGAAGAGGAGGGAGGAGGGAGGAGGAAAGACGGAGGAGGGAGGAGGGAGGAGGGAGGAGGGAGGAGGGAGGAGGGAGGAGGGAGAAGGGAGGAAAGAGGAGGAGGAGAGGTGAGGAGGAGGGCCTAGGAGGACAGGAGGAGAGGAGAGAGGGGGGAGGAGTAGGGAGGAGCGAGGAGGAGGAGGAGGTAGGAGGTAGGAGGAGAGGAGAGGGACAGAGAGGAGGAGAGGAGGGGAGGAGGAGGAGGAGGAGGAGGAGGAGGAGGAGGAGGAGGAGGAGGGCCTCGGCGTCCGAAAAATTGAAAACGCCCGCCTGGAGGGGGTCCAGACCCATGGGGGGAGTCCCGTTTTGACGAAAATCATGAGGTCAGATGTCAGGCTTGTTTCTCTCCTTACGGCCAAGCACTTTTGCTTAGCGTGTCGCGGCGGCGGCCCTGGCGACACGCTGTGCCCTGCGAGCGGACATGGTGTCGCTCGGCCTCGCGAGGCGGGAGGCTGGGAAGGATTCGGCACATGTGACGCTTGGGAATCGGGAAGTGGTTAACGTGTCGTGCTGGAACGTAGTGGGCCAGGGCAATCGGCGCGACACGCTAAGCAAACTTTTTCCTGACAGTAGACTCAATTTGGGCAAGTCCTGCCTTCTTCGCCCGGCCCGAGTGATCCTCGTCGTCTGGTGTTTGGGACACGACTCGGGTCTCCAGCGGCCGCGCGGGAAGATCCGGCCACCCCCGGAACGCTCTCGCCGCAGCGCGTCTGCTGGCGAGCCCCCGGCTGCCAGGAGAACCGCCGAGAACCGCCGATCAGGCCCGAGAGCCGACGAAGAGGTACCCTTCGCTCAGGCTGCACGCTACTCTCTTGAGTCTGCTTGTTGGGGCCCGCTTGCTGCGCTCTATACTCCGCCGCTGCTGCTGAGGGAGGGGGACGGGCGCATGGCTATGTCGGTCGGATTATTGCTGCGGCTGCTTCTTCTTCTGCGGCTTCGTCTTTCGTCGTCTTCTTCTTCGCGCGTCTTCTTCTTCTTCTATGCTCTTCCTTCGTCTTGTCTTCTTCTGTCCTTCTCTCTTCGACTACGCTAATCTTCCTCTGCGTGCTTCTTCTATGCGTCGTCTTGTATTCGTTCTTCTTTCTTCTTCTTCGTCTTCTCTTCGTCGTCTACTTCTTTCTTTCCCCGTATTCTGCTTCGCCTTCTTCTTGCTTTTCTTCTCTTCTTCTTCTCCTTTCTTCGTCTCTTGCTTCTCTTCTGCTTTGTCTTACCCGGCTTCTTCGTCTTTCGTCGACTTCTTCTTTTCTTCTTCTTCTTCTTCTTCCTTCGTCTCCCCCCTCCGTCTCTTCCGGGCTTCGTCTTCTTTTTCTCCGTTTGTCCGTCCGTCTTTCTTCTTCTTTTTTTCTTCTTCTTCATATTCGGTCTATCTTTTTCCTTCGCCCCCCCCCCCCACCCACTCACCCCTCTCCTTGCCTCCTCCACGCCATTCGGCAGTGCGTGGCGGCGGCCGTGCGCATACGGGACCCCCTCCGGCATGGCGCCGCGCTCGGGGGGGGGGCCGCCGCCTGGGCCCCGCCGGCGCTCCGCAGGCGAGCGGCGAGCGGCGCCCGTCGCCCCGCAGGAGGG